TAAAACAGCACAGGCGAAGGTGAGGAATGTGAACCACGGGAAGCCCCGGAAACAAAAGGCCCTGTGCTCAGGGTTCCAGAAACCAACTCGGCTCTGAGAAGCCTCCTGGGCCGTCAGGTCCAGCCTGCGGAAGGAAGCTTTCTACTCAACTGTTCGCCAGGCGCCCAGGTGAAGCCAGGCCCCATGGCGCCTCCCTCGGGCAGGCAGGGACCAGAGGGACGGTCCTCGGGAAACGCTCCCCTTCCTTCAGTGCCCAAGTCGGTGGCTGGACGCCAGGCCCGCGTCCGGTCAACGGCGGCGCCGCGGCGCCCTCTCTGGCCGTTGGCTGCGCGCGCAGCCTGGCGCGGCTGGTTCTCGGCGCCCGCGCGCCCCCTCGCGGCCGGCCCGCAGCCTCACGCCCACCCACAGCGACCTGACCTCTTGCTAGACGGGGTGGCGGGTAGGATCTGAGGATACGCGGCTCCAACTGCTTCTGGTTTCAGTGCTGGGACTTGCCTTTGCTCCAAAGCCTGCAAAAGAAGGATATGCTCATGGACTAGAGACATCGCAAAGGATCCCTCACCTCTCCGTCATGCTTGGGTGACAAGACCACTTCCAATCTCCTTAGAAAAAGGAGACATCATGTAAATCCAGAAGACCCACGGCCTCTGTGTCTGCCGTCCCTTCCCAGAGACATCTTCAACCTGCCTGGTAGAGAAGGGCTGCTCGGGATAATGTGCCCCTCTGTAAATCACCCTCTAGTGCTCACCACCCAGAAAAGCTGGAACAGGAGTTCAAAGGAGAAGATCCCTTGTTTTGTTTTCGTCTGGGCATCACCAGGAATAAGCAGTTTCTACCTCAGGACAAAGGACTGTGATGTGGTCAGTAGTGAAGCGGCTTGGGCTTTCCCCGCATTTCTAAACCCCCACAGGGAACTAGACAAAGAGGTTATACCCACGAACCTTCCTACAAGTCCATTTAATTATTGTTTGCCTGGATCCAAAAAGCGGTCTCAGATTTTCGCTTTGAAAGCAATTTATTTCTGGTTTGGTTGAAAGTTCTCACCAATATACAGTATACACATTTAGCCGCCAGCTGGGAGAGAGGTCAGGTCGCTGTGGGTGGGCGTGAGGCTGCGGGCCGGCCGCG